TATTTGTTTGTTTATGTTTTAATGGTTTTAGTTTTAGTGAACCATAATACCTCTGAATCACAGGCTCTGATTGGACGGCAGTGTTGTGTTGCCCCGGTAACCCTGCGACAGGTAAACGAGCGCAGATTGAGCACAGGTGCTGTTTGTTAAAGCGGATGATGGCGAATCGTTTGGCGAGACGACAGAACATTACACACGAACAGCACAGAGCGAGATCAGCTTATGCACACAAGATTGATTACAGACAGAGAAAGACGCAGCTGCAAAAAAACCTGCCAGAACAATCAGCCGTTCAGACCAAATGAGCACAATGCATGCTGGGACACCTCTCCTCATCCCGCTCCTGCTGAAACCTGGATTTAAGGCAGCAGTCATTAAGCGCTAATGAAATATCTGACCCTCGTTCACCGACGAACAGCTAATGCTCTCAGATTTCAGTGACACCAAACTAACTGACACACAGTTACTAGAGTCATCCAGCATTGATCTTTGGTGTTTGTAAATCCAGTGGTTTAGATTAGCTTAGTTTGGTTTAGTTTATTTGTTTACAGGGGCAATGCACATTAATAAAGATGGCTGTAAATGAGCCAGAATTCGCCAAAGAGGCTATTTTTCATCTGTAGACCCTTGACAGAATGTTACAAAGTCACCCTGAAAACAAAACAGAGCATATTTTATTACAACCAACAAAGAAGAAGAGATAAAAAAGTTGAATGCTTAAAAAAATACAAATACTTGATTGCATACATATATATATATATATATATATATATATATACACACAGATATATATATATATATATATATATATAAAAAAAAGTTCAATGTGGTTAAATGTGTTAGGATGTTTCAGAAAGGAAAATATGAAAAATATGATTTAGGGATACTCATTAAATTATGAATAATCAATTGCTATTATGTGCATAGTATGTATAATCAATAAAAAAGACATATTTTAAAATGTAATATAAAATAATTAAAATAATAACATCCAGATTACATGTAATCAGCAGTGTTGTAACAGAATAATGCAATTTCATTACAAAATAAATGTGACTGTAATCTGTTACAAAAAATGTGTAATTAGATTACAGATACTTATGAAAATGTTAATGATTACAAAGGGGGTTATATCTGAATATCTAATTGATTTCTTTCCCAAATCACAGTGACTGCTCTAAAATATGAGACACCATTGTTTCAGGAGTTTATGACACGTGCTTATTCCATAACTGGTGTATTTTCTATTTGTGCTTGTTTATAACTTTTTTTTTTTTTTAATTAACTGTTTTTTGAAGGCATAGATTCCAGTGTTTCCTGTCACAGCTGTGCAAAGATTTGATTGCAAAAACATTTCTTGTTATGATTTTTAATCTGTATTTAACCTCAGAATGATCTTAAAGTAAAAGGAGGTGTTAAAGTCTGATTCTGTGGTGGCTGTGCTTTAAAATTTAATCATGATCTTAATTAAAGTATTTAGAAAGTTATACAGTAATCGGTGTCGAGTACTACTGTAAGGTTTAAGCATTTGAAAATGATTAAAAGTAATCAAATGTAATCAGTTACATTACTTTAATGAAGTAACTGAAATAGTTACACTGCTCATTACATTTTTGATAACTTGTAATCTGTAACCTGTTACATTTCCAAAGTAACCTTCCCAGCACTGGTGATCACTTGCTGACTATATAGAAGGGAAGTATTTGATTTCAGACGCAGGGATCGTCTCGACTCAAACACAAACACGAGCCAGAAGCAGACGTATCAACCTGCTCTGCCCCATTCAACTCTGATATATACAACTTAACCAGAAACAACAGAGTGTGTGTGTATTGATTATATGGAAGACAGAGAGAGAGAGAGAGAGTGAGAGAGAGTGTGTGTGTGTGTGTGTGTGTGTGTGAGTGTGTGTTTCAGAAACTCTGCAGAAGAATTCAATGTCAAAGCTGAACTAGATAATAATGGCAGCCTGAGCTCCAGACATCAACAGCAGTGTCCATCACTCAGGGTCAGCCCGAGCACAAACTCACCTTCGCTGTGTGTGTGTGTGTGTGTGTGTGTGTTTGATGTGTAAAGAGAGAGACGCCGGCTGTCGGTCACACACTCACCAGTGGTCTTTCTCTATGAATAATAACACACATCAAACACACGATACCCACCACCGTCCTGCACTGCAAAACACCGAAGGGTTTCAGCAAATATCTCTTCCTGACCAGCATCTCTCTTCTAGACTTTCTTTGAGAAGTGAAACTTTGATCAAACTGAGACCAGAAGTTCAACTTCACTAAAAGACAAAGTGAATGTCACAAATCAGTACATGTCTTCACAGTATATTTAATTAACTCAGCAAACCCCGCCTTCAGATTCACCTGACCTCAGATGCCCCGCCCACTATTATTCATACGCTCCGTCCACTTCCATTCTCTCATTCGACACTGAACACAGCTGAAAATTCAGCATTGCATCCCAGGAATAAATTACATTTTAAATCACATTCACATAGAAAATGGTTATTTTACATTGTAATATTATTTCACTGTTTTTACAGTATTTTTGGTCAATTAATGTAGCCCTGGTGAACATAAGCAAGGTATCTCCTGCTTTATTTGTCCTCGCTGTGAGTTTACAAGCTCCGCCCTCTTTTCCCTCTCCATTAATGAGTTCATTCATCTAATTTTTTTCTTTTCGGTATCTGGTCCTCTCTTCATCAAGCCGATCTTCCGCTCACTTTCAACCCTTCTTCACTCTCCTTTCATGCGACCGCAGAATGACAGATTTAATATGCTCTGAGGTGCATTTGTCACTGATAATATTATTATAAACAGGTGACGTGTCTCTCCTGCATAAACACATGTGAACGCGCTCTGACAGTGACAAATAAACGCTCTCTCAAACGTCCTCTGGATAACGCCGATTAAATTACACACGTGAGACTGTGAGGACTCAAGCCATCAGACGACTCGTCCCGTTTGTGTTCTGGCGCTTTGATATTCATGGGATCATTTAGCAAAAGGTGAACATTACGTCATTCTGAGTTACAGCTTCCACAGAGACTTCTGGAGAATCTTCACGCAGCAGCAGTTCAGAACGGCATCTATCAAACTCTAAACAGGACGAAACCACTATCAAAGTTGAGTTATAATCAATGCCTTCTGAGTCTAAGTCCTGCTCGTTCCTGCTAGAGGAAAAGACTTTAAATCATGCACTGTAAAAAAAAAAAATCTGTAAAAATAGGGCACAACATACTGTATAATTTGAAGGAATTCTTCCGTATTTATTTTTTACCAGTGTTATGGATTTCACACTTCATTGTATTGTGTGTTAGAGTTAACAGAAATGTCCGTAAAATGAATGGATAATGTTGTGTAATGAGCTGATTAGCTGTTATTTTACGGATTTATTTGTTACAGTGTGGAGCTACTCTCACATGTGTACAGTATTATGTTTTATATGCCACACTGAAAATCTTCCCCTCTGTCCAAGATGTATTTATTTGTTTGTTGTTGTTAATAAAAAAAGTATAATTTACATTGGTTTTAATTATTGCATGTTTATTTATTTATTTACAGAATTATTAAAAAAAAATGTTATATTAATTACCTTTTTATTATTGTACATTTTTATGAGACTATTAAATTTCACATTTTAAATTTCCTGACAAAATTCTTTATGAAGCAATATCACATAAAGCAGTGAAGTACTCACTCAATGTTAAGAGTCTCTTTTGCTCACCATAGCTTCATTTATTTGGTCAAAAATACAGCAAAAACTGTAATATTAGGAAATATTATTGCAACTTAAAATAACTGTTTTGTATGTGAATATATGTTAAAATATAATTTATTTCTGTGATGCGCAGCTGTATTTTCAGCATCATTCCTCCAGTCTTCAGTGTCACATGATCTTCAGAAATCAGTATAATATGCTGATCTGCTGCTCAAGAAACATTCCTGATTATTATCAATGTTGAAAACAGTTGTGCTGCACAATATTTTTGTGGAAACCGTGATATATTTTATTTTTCAGGATTCACAGATGAATAAAAAAGTTCAAAAGAACAGCAATGTTTTGTAACAATATAAATGTATTTACTGTCACTTCTGATGAATTTAATGTGTATATGCTGAATAAAAATATTAATTTCTTTAAAAAAAAACAACAACACTTACTAACCCTGAACTTTTTAACAGTAGTGAGGGAATTAGAGGAAGCGAGAAACAGTCATTGTTTCCTCTGCAGCAATTAAACTCAATTCAGTGAACAGTGACGCTAGCATGGCGCTCATGTATCAAGTAAAGACAAACACTGATGTAAGGAAAAGCCAACAGAGTAAACAGCGCAGGTATTCCTGCAGGCAGATGGATGCGACACTGCGCTCTCATAACTAAAGATACAGAAGAGCCGATCTATCATGGCCAAACGCTATCATTAGCTATCTGGCAACTTACTCATTTTGACGAAGTGCAACGCTTACATAGTTTATCACAGAGCTCACAGTAACCAAAGTCATCATGCAAACTTCACACACACACACACACACACACACACACACACACACACACACACACACACAAGCACACACACACACACATACTCTCTCTTACACACACACAAACACACGCATGCACACACACAGACACACAAACACGCACGCACACACACACTCTCTCTCACACACTCTCTCACACACACACACAAACACACACACACACGCAAGCACGCATGCACACACACAGACACACAAACACGCACGCACACACACACTCTCTCTCACACACTCTCTCACACACACACACAAACACACACACACACGCAAGCACGCACACACCCACACACACTCACACACACACACACACCAACTGAGTTCAAATGAAGGCGAGACTTTAAACTGCAGGAGAAAGAAGAATAAATCAGTTCTCTGAGCTGCAGGAGGAAGATGCTGGGTGTGTTTGTGTTGAAGTGCTTTCATTAGACAGCGATCACAGACAGTTGATACGTACTGTACGGGACGCACTCGTACTGCACTTCCAGGTATTTGTATGTCCCGGGACAGGGGTCGGGAAACGCGTCCGGTCCGGCTACGACGGCGCACTGCGTCCGGTTATTACACCTGAAAACACACACACAGAGGGGAGACACATCATTAGCAGTGTGTTACTATTGCATACTCAGGGTTTGGAGTTTGTGGACATTTCTCACCTTTAGTATTACACTGTTTGAGCTTAAAACACGCATTGTTTTTTATGATTTTTGGACAATAAAACTGAACCACACGTTCAATGACCAGATTGTCATAGACTTGAGAATGGTTTCTTTTTGACTTTTAGGCCAGTAAATAACTATCCAGAAACATGCACAGTATCCACCAACATCCAGAATACCGTAGTATCAACAAGTGATGTACTAAAATCCTTAACAAGCTGATTTACAGAAACACCTATCATTTTTCTTTTTTTTTCGCATAGATTTTTTAACAGGTGTTTTACTCATAATTTGAATCATGCATTGCATTTTAGGGTTGTAATATGTACCAGTAATTGTATGCAACATTACCAGTTTTTCTTTTTTTAATCTTAACTAAATTATGGCATTTAAATTTCATTATCACAACAAAAGTAGTGTTTTAATTGCATTTTAATCATATGCTAAATGACATCAGGTCAAAATTGATTTAATTTACTTCTTAATAAATGTCTCCATTTTATTGTGATTCATTAGTGCACTCTAGTCATAATTTTTCATCAAAATGTACTTTATATTTCAATGCACTAACACTTAACATGTATGTCCTTTTTGCAGCCTGCAACATTTGGACCCCATTGGCTTTCATTGGATACACACAAAAAAAACAAACAGCTGAAATATTCATCAAATATCTTATTTTGTGCTCTATAGAATAAATAAATAAATAAATGGAACAACATAAGAGTAACTAGTCAAGTGTGCTTAATTGTAATGAATGTGCACTTGTACTACAAGTCTTAAAAGCATATTTTAATAAACTACTTAGATAACATATTACATTATTATATTAACATATTGTAGATAACGTATTATAACTATAACAGATAATATTAAATGACTTAAAGTAAAGAGTAACACTTTCATGACTGTTTCTAAACACACTTTTAAAAATAATGTCAAATTAAAAGTTTTACTGTAACGTGCATTAAATCATTATGTTTTAATAATTCTGTATCATGTTTTAAAGAAGTACACTTATTTTGTTGTGTTGACTAACATACTAAAGCACATTTAAGTTCCTGATTATCATTTTAACTGTAGTGTGTTATTCAATATTACATTTAGAGTCAATATATTTTAAATGCACTAAATTGCAACTTCATCAACACAAATATATTTAAACACAAGACGAGTTTCAATAGAAATGCCATTAAAGCATATTCGCTTAGCATGCTTGTCAGTACATTCAGCAGTACTTTAACCTTTTAACCACACTTTATATACACAAAAACACGCACGCACGCACGCACTCACACACACACACACACACACACAAGCACACACACACACACATACTCTCTCTTACACACACACAAACACACGCATGCACACACACAGACACACAAACACGCACGCACACACACACTCTCTCTCACACACTCTCTCACACACACACACAAACACACACACACACACACTCACACACACACAAACACACGCATGCACACACACAGACACACAAACACGCACGCACACACACACTCTCTCTCTCACGCACACACTCTCCCTCGCACGCACACACACACTCTCTCTCTCACGCACACACTCTCCCTCGCACGCACACACACACTCTCTCTCTCACGCACACACTCTCCCTCGCACGCACACACACACTCTCTCTCTCACGCACACACTCTCCCTCGCACGCACACACACACTCTCTCTCACACACTCTCTCACACACACACACAAACACACACACACGCGCAAGCACGCACACACACACACATTCTCACACACACACACACACACACACAAACACACACACACGCAAGCACGCACACACACACACATACACACATTCACACACACACACAAACAAACACACACACACACACACACACACACACACACA